TATGGTCTCTTCAGGGTATATTCCCAGTAGTGGAATTGCTGGGTCAAATGGTATCTCTATTTGCAACTTTTTGAGAAAGCGCCATACTGCTTTCCATATATAAATAATATATGTTATTTTTAAAACAACTTTATGGTTAAGAGGTGCTTCAAAAATACCATGTAAAAATATTACAATGCATGTCAGGACTTACACTAAAGTCAAATATCTCAGTATTTAAAAGCCTGCTCCACTACTTACCAGCAGGGCGAACTCAGACATGCCAAGAGCCAAGACTTGATAACCACATATTTACTGAGTACCGTCCAGTCCACTTTGAGCAATAGCAACCCTTAAGGACAAAGTACAGCTGCCTCATTGTTTCCTGGTCTGTAATCTTTACAGAGGGCACACTGGTGGCCTAGTGGGTAAGGCAATTTCAATCCATCAGCTGATCCAAGGAAGAAAGAAGGGCAATCTTCCTTGTGATTTACAGCCTCTGAAACCCCAAAGGGAGTCAGCTATGAGTTGGTTCCAACTGAACAGAAATGAGTTTTGAGAACCTATACAAAGAGTCCTGGTAACGCAGTAGCTGAAGTGCTCAATTGCTAACCAAACGGTTGGTGGTTCAAACCAAACAGTAGCTTGGTGGGAGAAAGCGGTTACAGCTGCTTCTATAAAGAATACAGTCTTGAAAACCATATGGGACAGTTCTACTCTTCCCTACAGGGTCAATAGGCATCAGAATTGACATCACTGAGTTTAATGCTTGCAGGAGCTGAACCCAGGTCTTTTCTCCTGAGGATAGCTGGCTGATGAGTACTTAACCATTTCTCTGTCAGGGCTCCTTATTCAGGAACCTTTTAAAACATAAAAACCGTCAGTAGGTTTGGGGGCTAGGTGAAGGAAAGCATGCTCTAGATAGTACATATTTTTCAGTTTCCAGTGATGAGAAAAGAGGCTGAATTCATATGTAGTAAATACATGATCAAAGCAAAGTGTTATCTCTAAGAAGTGCTTATGAGAAGAAGAGGCCTCTACCAAACAGTCTGACATATAAAAAGAGGCCAGCTCCAATATTGAATAACCCAGTCTAGAGTCACATAAGGATGAGGACAGGCACATACATATGTAGGTAACTACAAATGTACACATATAGTAGAACAGATAGAAAAAAAAAAATATATATATATACATATATCTCAAAATCTATAAACACAAATAGTATAGGCAAACACATACAATTAACTATATATGTTCTTCAGATATAATTAACACCTTCTAAGAACAAATTCCTACATTTGAAAGCGTAAGACCATTTGAAAGCTTAAGACCATAGCCTCAAGGGACGACTTGGGCAACTAGCATAAAACAGCTCACAAAGCTTTATCTGGAGAATTAAAAATTTGCAAGCAGTCATCTTCTATTCACCAAAAGAGTGAGGAGCTACCCTCACTCTCAGAGAAGCAACAAGTGTACAAGGTTGAGGGGGGAACTGTCCCTGGAAAAGGACAACCTGAGTCACAACCTCAACAATCCAAAGACCAATGTGGATGGTGGCTGGCTACCACCACTGACAAGTCTCACCAGGAGCACAGCAGACAGTCCTGGTTAGAATGGTACAAAAATAAAGAAAATAAAATTCTTAAAAACAGCTAGACTCTGACAGAGAAAGCAAGCCTTCCCTGAGAACCAGCATCTGGAAACTGGAATTCTAGCCTACTAAACTGCAGGAACTTCAGGCTAGAACTTGAAATTGTCTTTTTAACCATTAATGCAGTATCATTCTTCCTGGTTTTCATTCCCAGCATAGTGTACTGTTCAAGTCTTTTCTGGATAGTCTTCAGCAGGATTTTGCTAGTGTGTAATATTAGTGATATTGTTTGATAATTTCCACACTCTGTCGGGTCACCTTTTTTAGGAATGGGAATAAAAATGTATCTTTTCCAGTCAGTTAGCCAAAGCAGTAGTCCTCCAGATTTCTTGACACAACTTGGTGAGCACATGCAGGGCAGCATCTGTTTACTGAAATATGTCAATTTTCCACCAATTTCTGGGGCTTGCTTTTTTTTTTTTTTTTTTTTTTTTTTTTTGTCAAGTCCTTCAGAGCAGACTGGACTTTCTCTTTCATCAACATTGCCTCTTGATCATATGTGGTTTCTCGAAATTCTGTGTCAGCCAATTCTTTTTCGTACAATGACTCTGTATACTCCTTCCATCTTCTTTTTAATGCTTCCTGAATCATTCGATATTCTGCCCATCAGCATCCTTAAGCATTGCAACTCGTGGCTTTAATGTATTCTTTAGTTCTTTCAGCTTAAGAAATGCTGAGCAAGTTCGGCCCATTTGATTTTCCAAATACAGCTCCTTGCACATTTCATTATAATATTTTGCCTTGTCTTCTGGAGCAGCCCTTTGAAATCTTCTATTCAGCACCTTAATTTCTTGATTTCTTCCCTTTGCTTTGGCTTCTCAGGGCTCCAGTGCAATATTCAGAGTCCCATCTGACATCCATTTTGGTATTTTCTTCTTCTTCATTCTTGATAACGACTTTTTTTCATTCTTCGTGAACAATATTTTTTATATGTTCCCACAGCTTATCTGGTCTCTTCGTTCATTATTGTTCAAGGCCTCAAACCTATTCCTGAGTTGGTTTTTTTAATTCATGGGAGATAGACTCAATGTCAAATTTTTATTCCTGTGGATATTATTTAACCTTCTTTAGTTTTAATTTGAACTTGCATATGAACAGTTGATGGTCTATTCTACAATCAGCACCTGGCCTAGTTTTCACTGCTGATAGTGAACGTCTCCAGTGGTTCCTTCCACAGATGTAATCATTCTGATCAGGTGAAATCCATGTGTATAGCCTGTGTTTACATTTCTTATAAAAGGTATTTGCTATGAATAAAGCACCGATTGTACAGAATTCTATCTTCTATCCCCAGCCTCATTTTTGTCACGAAGTTCATATTTTCCAGCTACTGAGCCTTCTTCCTGGTTCCCAAATTTTGCATTTCAGTCACCCATTATTATTAATGCATCTTGGGGTAGTCTACACATATAAACCTAGTGGCATAGTAGTTAAAGCACTTGGCTGCTAACAAAAAGATTAGTTGTTCAAACTCACTAGCCACACAAAAAAGAAAGATATGATACTCTGTTTCTATTAAGATTTATATATAACTTAGAGAACTTCATGGGTCAGTTCTATTTTGTGTTATAATGTTGTTACACGTGGCATGTACAGTACATGTGCTTTATAACATAGGTATTAGATGAATAAGTATGAAATATTAGGTTTTTTTATTTTTAATAAATACTTTCTCTTAGCCTATATATTTGTCTAAAGGGTCTCCATTGTTTTTTGTCATTTAGAGGAAACAAACAAATATCCTTTTTTTAAATATTTTTAGGGTTTATGCTATTAAGAAAGATTCCCTAGTCTGTGATATTAAAAACATTTAAATTTTC